GCTTTAGGGGTCTATGGATTACTGTTCTAACTTTCTGAAATCATGTTAGGTAGTTTTAATCAGAATATAAGTGGTCTAGTATCTAACAGAACAGTGAACTGAATACTAGGGTAACTCATAAAAACCAGTTTTCTTTGGGATATATTTCAAATTCCTTCCAGAGAAATATATAATCCCCTGAGTTTGGGATGGAAGCAGCATCTTCAGGCTGTGTAGGCTAAAATTCTATTGTCTTACCTCATTTGACAACCAGGCTAAGAATAATTGTGATAATTACAAATGTTGAGAGACATCAAAGCAAGACTATTTTATGACAAGAAAATTACATAAATCTCAAATTTCATTGTTTAGAAAGTTTTATTAGAACATAGTCACACTCATTTGTATGCATACTTATTGTCTACTTTTACACTAAAATATCAAAGCTGAGTATTTTAAAAATGATTGGATCTGTAAAACCTTAGTATTTATAGGCGTAGACGCTCACAAACAAATAAACATACAAAAAAAAAAAAAAAAAAAAAAAAAGGAAGTTTGCTAACCATTGGACTAGTATGAACTAGACTAGCAAGGAACCCAGGAGCAGAATATTTAACCACACTATCATCATCTAATTTCTAAAAGCAACACTTGCAGTTCAAGAACTCAATCTAGCATCCTATGAAAGCTGATGAAAATGAGAAAACAACATTTCAAGATGTTTGTGAGGTGTTTAGAAAATGTATAACATCCAAGTATTCAGTGACAGATCATTAGATCAAGAAGAGTTCAAAGGGCAGAGTATCACATGCTAGAATACCAGCAAAGGACAAGCTGAAGAAAAAAAAATGTCTAGTTCAAGGCAGAAGGATTTCTAATTCAAGGCCAACCTGGCTAGATAGTAAGAACCTTTCTCAAAACCAATTCAAAATGTCTAAGGGTTTGTAGTATAAAACAATGTTATTCATTACTATTAAACACAAGAGAGGAAATGAAAGGTCTTCCACATTTATGAGTATTTTTCATGAAACTCAAGGACACTTAGCAAAATTCTATCAGGAAATGTATGTATGATTTGGAGAAAGATATGTATAGCTGTACTTTCAAACTTTCACAAGCTGTTTGTTGTCAAGAATCATTTATTTTAATATCTGTAAGGATTGTGGGAATTCTATAGTCTCCTAGGTTGATTGTCCATCTAATAGTTTTCAAGTACAGAACATGACTGAAAAATGTAGCCTTTTTTTTCCCCTTTCCTTTCCCTTATGTTTAAAAAAATCATCCTGAATTTTGCTCTTAACCATTCTGTCATGTTATTTGTATATGTATATCCAGTAATGTAAACTGATGGCGTCCCCCCCACCAGTTCTGTGTCAAAAATAAGGCTGAGTCAATAAATAATCTTGAAAACGTCGTGCTCTGAAGTTGATTCTCTGAGTACTGTCCACATCTGCAGGAAATATCCCAAGCCTGAACTGTATGGCACAGACAATGTTTCACAATATCCACAATGCCCTATACATTAAATTACACCATCACAATTTCACTTTGAAAGAAAAGGGGTAAATAACCTTACATATTCATTTAGAGATCCTGTGTTCTCCCACCAAGTCATTCCAGAAATTTGGCATCAATAAAGCAGCATGATCTGAAGAATACTTAAAATGCTCATCTCGGCAATCACCACAAAAAGAATCACTGCATTCACTCTAGGTTACAGAAGCTGTCACCTGAATGAGTTACAGTCTACTTATGAAGCGGGAGTCTATTTATTGCCCCCTTTACAACACGATTTATAAAACTAAATCCAGGTGAACATGGTAGTGGACACTACTAGTCCTAGCATTCAGAAGGCCAAGTCAGGAGATTGCATATTTCAGACCAGCATAATAAAATCCTGGCTTAAAAAAATTATAAGATAAATCGAGTGACAGGTAATTGGGCACTATTGTAAGGCACAGGATTTTAGTAAGTCTTCCATGTAACTGAGCATCTTCAGAGACTAAGGTCTCCAGGCAAGATATGACTATAATATTCCCTAGTTTACTAATAAAGACTGAACGAATGCCTTTTAGGAACAAAGTTACTACTCTTAAGCCTCAAGGATAAGGCAAAGGATGAGGAAAAGCTATCTCTGCTCACACGGAGTTAACATCCAGTGCTGGGAGACAGTGATTTAACAAGGCAAGCAACAGTGTCAAAGCATCTGCCAATCAGAAGAGCACCCACAGCACTGCTCTAGGCTAACAGGAGCTGCTGCTAAAGGAGGTGAGTCTGAACTGAGATCCTACATAAGAGCTAGTTACTAAATCAGAGGGACAGCACAGCCCGGCTGCCACAAGGCCTGAGACAAGAGGAATGGAGAATGGAGCCTGTTGGGCAATAAAGGCAAGGCCAGTGTTGATGAGCCACTGTAAACAGTGGGGACTAGCAGCTCTGGAAATACCTAGCCATGGTCATGAGATATACTGTATGCTGAGAAAGCTTTTGAAGATACGGCTAAGTTTCTGATCTGATTTCTCTGGTAGCTGAGGGACAGATACTGATGCTGGGAGCTCTATTTTGAACTTACTACAGTGGTTAATACAAATTAGAACAACAGCATATTCGTCAATGGGGAAAAATGCAAAGAAAGACTCAGGGTTTTTCAACATCCTACCAAGCTTTTGTGAAACTGACAGGTTGTGGGAACTGAAATATGGAAGTATGGAGACAAGGCAGGTTTATATCACTTACATTTGATATTCATATTAAATAACATATACTTCAGAAGCCATCCTGCTGTCTGAGCCTTGTTGTGATATATTGTTTATGATCCAATAAAGCTTCCCTGGAAATCAGAATGCAAAGCTAGATACAGCAATAGAGGCCGGGCATTAGTGGCACACTAATCTTTAATCCCAGGACTCAGGAGATAGAGGCAGATGGATCTCTGTGAGTTCAAGGCCACCCAGTGATACATGGGAGTGAATCAGTCTAAAAGAGAAACAGAGCTCATGCCTTTAATCCCTCTAATCACAACACTAGAGAGGTATATAAGACAGGAGCAGGGTCTCAGAGCTGTCAGTCAGTCTCCAGCCACATTGAGGACAGGATCTCCCCAGCCCTGGTAGAAGTAAGAGCTCTCTGGTGACTTGGCTACTTTGCTTTTCTGGTCTTCAGCTTGAATCCCAATATCCATCTCTATGTTTTTTTAATATCCGTGCTACAGAGCTTTGAGCATAATACACGTGAGGATTACATCTCAATTACTGACAAAAAGATGTTTCAAGGGTAAACTGCTTGCTTTTAGTTCTGATAAACTCAGACTGAATCAACACAATTTGATAATAATGCACATGATGCATACAAATTTCGTACCTTTAAAAATCAATAATGGGTTGTTTGCTTAGAGATGAGATTCTTACCTTTGATCATAAAAATAATTATCATAAGAAATATAGATGCACAGACTGACTTCACATCATCTGAATAGGAAAGAGCTACCTCCCCCAAGAAGAGAATCCCAAGCTAAGCACTTAGCACTTCAGTGCTTGTTTTCCCATGCATAAAATAAGGAAAACAGTAACTGCTTCTTGGTAGACTTGAAACGGTTGATCAATGTGCTAGCATTCATAAAGCAATCATAACAATACATGACAAAACAGGTAGGCTGAGGCAGAATAGTTTAAGGCTAGCCTGGACTACATAAGGAAAGCTCATCTCAAAAAGAAAGAAAAAGGATTTAGCATATAGTAACAGCTCAACAAAGGAAAAACGGCATTACTCCCCACTGAGTCCCGATATTTCTGAACATTACCGTTTTCTTGTTACATGTATGGTTAGAGGCAGCATCAAAGACTCAAAATGAGCTGCTGAATCATTGGGAGGAAAAGAAAGAAAGAAAAAGAAAAAAACTCCTCTAAAGGTGTCAGACTGAGAGCTATAGATTACCAAGAGTAAGCTATTTATTCACTTTTACTTTATGTTTAGTTTCTCAGCACTGTAGTTTGGTGCCAGCTATTCTATATCTCTAGTCCAGTCTCAAATCTGGGATACAGACTCCCATCCTCCACTGGACTGACATTCTACTTGGCTTTTCCCCTGAAGTCACCAAATCCATGCTGTAACTTCCAGTTTCACACTAACAAATCTCCTCAACTCGTCAACTGCATCGGTGTCTATCATGCAATAATTCTGAGGTCAAAACAAACAGAAATCTAACTTTGATATTGTCCTCGAAACTACAGAAGCAGACCTTGGAACCTTGGAGGGTGACTTGGGACAGTAACAAAAACAGTAGTCACTGCATGCTCAGTCTTGTGGGACTTGAAATGTTCACAGCCACTCTGGGGGAGTTACTTCATATTACTTTCCTTGAAAATAAAATGCCTATGCGTTAGAACTGTGTTAACGTAAATGCTTTGGGAAGCAGTTTGGTTTCTGACACCAACTAGCTAAGAGAACTTGCTAATGGACATCTTTAGGTCACATTCCTAAACAGCAGAGTTCAAAAAAGAGGATCTTTAAGCCCCTTGTTGCTTCAAAATACATAACCTAAAGAACACATCACAATAATATTTTGGGAATATACTACAGGCGAAGCATTGTAATGAGCTGTACAACTTCAAATCCCCTTCATTTCCTCCCCATAACTTCCGAATAGACATTAGCATTGCTCTTCCTACAGACGAGGAAAAGCGGAGTGTGTCAGTGACAGCAGAGTCTGGGGTCTGAACCTAGCTCAGGACTTGCTGGTTGGTGACCACTACGCCCAACTGCCGCTTCGTACGTGGTTTCAAGGAAAAACTAAAGTAAGAGGGAAAAAGAAAAGTAAACGAGAGCTTGGGAGGGGACCGCTCCACACTGGCAGACGACGAGGGTGTCCTTCCCGTTTCACCCGGGCCAGGCTGTCCCACCCCTGTGCCCCGCGGCGCCCGGTGCTCCCTCAGCTCCGCGCCCCTCCTCCGGGCGGACCGCCGCGCCTGCCACACGCGCGCAGCGGGCTGGGGAGGGGACCGGGAAGGAGGCAGCGCGGGTACCTGGGCTGCTGGCGGCGGCCGGCTGGTTCTCCCACCACTCGTCTCCCAGGTCGTCTGCCATCTCCGTGCGACCGACGCGAGCTGACAACCAGGCGACACGGGCCGGCTCTGCCTCAGAGCCGGCGGCGACAGCGACACTGCCTGCACGCGGAGATGCCGCAGAACGCCGTCGCCCGCGCCCGCTGGAGATGACATCACGTGGACCACGCCCTCCAGCTGCGGGAGCCAGCGGCGTCGCCGTTTCCACACGGGTTCGGGTGCTCAAGACCGATCTAGAAACACAAAGTAAATGCCCCCGAATGGTAGAAACGGGCCAAGACACACAACCGAAAGTTGGTCATCTGTTTTGGTTATTTTTTTGAGAATATCTTTAAGGGTTTTGTTGTGGGTTGAGGCGGAAAAGGCTGTGTCGAAAGTGCAAGTGCGGATGCTAGGACGACTTCTCGCTGCTCAATTTCAAAGAACTTACGCCGCGGGAGAAGACATGAGCACGTGGTTGTGTTTTCACTTGGTTGTCAGGGTTCTGGCGGCTCCGCGCTTGTACAGTTCGCCCTGGAAGGGAAACCCTGAGAGTTTCTGGCGATGATAGGCAGAAATTAGTTGCGCATGTGCATGCTACTCCTTTGCACTTCCTAAGTTAACAAGGTAAATCGGTCAGGAAGGGCGCGACTTTAGATACTCTTAAAGTACTTAATCAGAGTTTGATGTACTTTTTCTAGGAGCAGGAGTGTATGTGTCCCACTAAATACTACGGCTCATGGAACAAGAACTGAACTTGGAGCCGGGCGTGGTGACACATGCCTTTAATCCCAGCACTCTGGATGGGGGCAGAGGCAGGCGGATCTCTGTAAGTTCAAGGCTAACCAGGTCTACATAGTAAATTCCAGGACTATTGGGCTATATAGAGAAACTCTCAAAAGGAAGAGAGGGACAGGGGAAAGAGAGGGAGGGATGGAGGAGGAGGAGGAGAGAACTTGACTCAGACTGTTGATAATCGGACTATATGCAATTTCCCTTTACTTTCTGCCTGACAACAGGTATCAAAGATCAGGAAAGGCACAGGCCAAATGCAACCATTCAGTTGTTTGTACCTGTGGTCTTAAGTGATTTTTATAGAAAGCATTGGAGGAAAATCTACACATCCATACTTCATAGTTACTATTTCCCTTTATAGAAAAAAAATTACAGACTATATAGAGTAATCAATCTAAAGTGTATCTTCCACTTATTAGTAAATTGATATCTGGGTTTATAAATCAGTCCACCCTAAAACCCAGGCCCAGTACCTAATAACCTCAGGGAAGCTACAGAGGAAGCAACTACTGGGACTTTACCTCCCTGTTTCTGTATAGCATTTGAATAAGTACCAGTGGAGTTCAGGTATGAAACATTGACTTCCCACTGATTTGAACTGGGCAACCTTCATAGAAGAGGAGACAATTCAACTTTAGCTTGTCAGTGTATTATCAGTGGACCAGTGTGGGTATGATAAATAATAATAATAAATAATAATAATAATAAGTTCCTTGGTGGAAAAATTGGGGTGTTGTTTTGGGTAAGTTGTCCAGCCTTACTGGACTTGGGTCCATAACACAAAGAAAATAAATAGATGACCTCTGGGAAGTCTCAGAGTTCCATGCCTACATTATCAGTGTCATACAAAGAAGTGAACATTACTGTTACAGTTGAAGGACATGATGTTTGGTGGAAGCTGTGTTAATGTTACAGGTCAGAACAGATATCAGGTTTGAGCAGAGCTTCCCATGTGGCGTGGGTAAGATAGTGGTTCCCTTAGTCTTTGGAACCAGCAGAGCCTCTTGTCCAGTTGCCACGGGCTGAAATAGCCTTTCCTCAATCTTCAGTTTACTACTGTACAGATGTCAAGATGTCCTATTGATGCTACCATGTGAAGAGATTGGGTCCTATTATTGTGAAGGAAAAAGGGTTGAGACTGAGGAGGCATAATGTGTTGCTTAGTTTATGTCAATTTGACACAACTGAGAAAATGCCTCTATAAAACTGGGCTGTAGGCAAGCCTTTAGAGCAGTTTCCTAATTGGAGATCTATGAGGGAAGGCCCAGCTTCAGGGTGGTGCCATCTCTGGACTTGTGGTCCAGGGTTCTATAAGAAAGCCAGTTGAGTGATCCACAAGAAGCAAGACAGTAAGCCGCACACCTTAATGGCCTCTGCATCAACTCCTACCCTCAGGTTCCTGCCCTGTTTGAGTTCCTGTCCTGACTTCCTTTAATGATGAACAATCCCATGGAAGCATAAGGCAAATCAACCCTTTCTTCCCCAGTTTGCTTCGTCGTGGTATTTCATCCCAGCGAGTGAGGGGGACCCTGCAGGTCTTCAGGCAGGGAAACAAACTGAGGAGGAGATGAGAATGAAAACTCGGTTCAGATTGACTTGTTAACCAGGATCAGACTTCAGGGATTCCAGTGCTGGGCAGTTCATTATAGGCATATGTAAAACGCAGTTCAGTCTGGGGAAAAGTTTCCAGGCATCCATCATTTCCACTCCAGGTTTCCAGGCCACAATCATTCCAGTTTCAAGTCTACAATAAAGTTTAAGGTTCAAGTACTTAGAGGCTCGTTTACACAGTTCATGTGACCATGAGGGCGGGGTCTATAGCTAAAAGCCTTAGATTCTAATGTGGTCTCTGACCAAGATAGCATAGATGTCAGCAGTATATAAAATACATGTGCTATCTCCCCTAAGGATAGGGTCTATTAACTCTGAGAGATACTGTCTAGGAAAGGAGAGTCGGATATAATCATCCAGAAGGATTTGGGTGAAGTCTGCCTCAGTAACAAAAGGTGGGTGAGGTCTGACTACACCCATAGCAAAAAAGTCACCAGCCAGGTCATTAATAGTACCCACTCTCAGCTTTCTGAGTGGAATGCAGCTATTTTATTTTATCTCTGCCACTGAGGAGAAACCCCTGCATAATCAACATCCCTGGTTTCCCTGGATATCTTGGTGCAAGGACCTTTATGCTTGAAACAAGCAATATTAACCCGAGCTAGGATACACACCGTAAATACAATGATGGGCTTATTTAGAGCATGGGTTCCTAGACTGTGAACATAATCCAGCAAAGCCTGGACCTTGGTAGTGTATTTCTTAAATGTTTGCACATTTAAGTAGTTATGGGTAATAATTAAGACAGCCAATAAGAAGCCCTAGCCACTGGCCAACAATTTTATAATTAATATAGCAACACCGTGTGTTCATTTGGGGCAAAACGACTGTGGGAAAATCCCACAACAGGTAAATATTTACTGCCTCAGTCCCTTCACAATTAGGGTGGTAATGGCCCCCTACCATTATTAGCTCTGGAATTATGTACCATCACTCTTTTCGCTAACCCTATCTTTTGTCCATTAAGCATTATAAACGCCCCCCCCCGGTGTGTGTGTGTGTGTGTTACCTGCACATGAATGTGAAGGTGTGCATTCATTTATGTATATGTGGATGCCAAAGGAGAACATCTGAGATCTTCCTTTTTGCTTTCCATCCAATTACTTCCTCCCACAAGGCCACACCTACTCCAACACAGTTACAACTCCAAAAAGGCCATTCGCTGTGAGTCTGTGGGGGCCGTTTTCATCAAACTACCACAGGATGTTCACTTGGATCCAAGGTGTCTTGCTGTGACAAAACCTACAGAAGCCCACAGAGAGAACTACATGGAAATAACACACAGGCATTTTATACAATTGTTCAGTTTAGGAAAACTTACTAACATTCAGCATCTACAAGACCTATAAAATAAAGATAACTCCAAATGATTCTGTGTATTAGGTATTGATTGACCTCAATCTGCAACTCCAGACAGAGCTCTGAGGCGTTTGTTGAACTGCTATGTTTTCTTCTGGCCACGAGAGGGAGATGTTTGGCCAAGCAGCCGGTGCCCTGAGAAGCTTGCAACTATACTGCTTAACATTAAATCTTGCTGTCTGCTGTGACCATCGTTGATAAATTGAATCTTCATTCACATACAGAAGCTTGCAGACTTCAGACAAATTAGAAGCTTCCCTCTGTGTAACTCAGTGAAGGAGAAGAATCAGAATAAAATGGAATCAATTCTATTTCCATGAGAGAAAGGCCTCAAGAGTGCCAGAAACACAGAGTACACGGGAAGTTCTGGGGAATGCATGTTCTATTTTGTGATTTCTTAGTTTGGTTGATAAAGGAATTTAAAACAAAAAGAACAGACCGAGAAGGAATGAATCTCATGGACTCTTTCATTAGAGTTTGTGAGGAAAACAACGGGGCAGACAATCTATTACTCTGGATAGATGCATTGAAGAGGGCGCTGAAGGAAGGGAGAAAGGTAAACACCCTGAGTTAGGCAAGCATCTCTTCAGACAAACAAAAAGTCCAGAGGATCTAAGCAAGTATGATATATATATGTATATGTATATACATATATATGTATATATATATATATATATATATATGTGTAGAAAAAGGAAGGTTATGTTTTTTGATTTAAGTATAAAAAGTTTTTCATGGCTTCAGTTGCCTAGGGTCTGGGCTGCCACCTAGGGCATGTTGGTGTCCCAGGGACACTCTCTTGCTAGGGCTATGCTGATTTGAGTGGCCTGTGCTGCTACCTGGAGTCAAAGTGACATCCAGGCCCAGCTACTGCCGAAAACCATGTCTGGGTCTGTGGTCCTATCACAGCCGAGAACTGTGTTGCTACCAGAGGCCACGTGGATGCCCTGGGGTCTGGACCAACCAGTGGTCTTGTTAATGTCCGAGGGTCATACCACTGCCAGAGCCATGCTATGAGTGCCCTATGCTGCCACCGGGGGCTGTGGTGTCTCCCACGCCTGAGCTGCTGCTGAGGACCATGTCTGGGTCCATGTGTCAATAACAGCCAGGGTCTGAGTTGATATCTGACTCCTGTTACCATCAAGGGCTTTGTGGATACTTGGGGTCTGGTCATTCATATGAGACTATGTTGATATCTGAGAGCCATGCTGCTGGAGCCATACTAATTGGGTGACCTGAGCTACCACAGGGGCCATGGCAACATCCTAGCCCAAGTTGCTGCCAAGGGCCATGTCTTCGTCATG